AATGTAGAGTGCATCTGAAGCTAGACTCATTTTAACTGCAGATCATCACAATCAAATTTACTGGGTTGGACTGACTTTACATTCACAGGTCTTTGAGTAAAGCATTTTGTCCACATCAGGTTCCAGGTAAATAAATCCAATGTAACATACAGAAAGATACAGAACTTTATTAAGGAAATTCAGGTGGGAGGAAGCCGGAGCACCCGGAGAGAACCCAACGCAGACATGGGGAGAACATGCAAACTCCGCACAGAAAGGCCGGGGTAACCGGGGTTTGAACCACGACCTTCTTGCCGTGAGGCAAAAGTGCTAACCACTGCCTGTCTTCCTGCCTGTCATTCATTCAATTATTGTGCAAGAAAAATGCTCTATATGGTAGTCTCTGATTTGTAAACCATTCATGCAGAAAAACAAGTTCAACATTTAAAGATTTTGGTGATTATAATATGTCCCTTTGTGTTGTAAAGTGGTGAAGACTTAAGGGCTTTGATTAGGTGTGATGACTTTGAGCATTAAACACTTAATTCCCTGCATTCTGGAGATATTTTCTGCACCAGTTAATGGTGGAAATGTCTTTATTTATATGAAAGGAAACAAAATTAAGGTGGCAGGTGAGTTGTTTTTCAGAACATTTTTAACAAAAGCTTTCAAAAAGTGATAGAGACACTCTGATTCTAACCTGTCCCCGGCATCATTAGTGTAAATGACACCTATCTGTCAATATTTTTAAATGTCCCGCCCCATCCAGGCTGTGATTGGTCGGTTCATGAAAAGTGACATTGAAGAGCTACATTCAGCACACGGCTGCTTGAAAGGCACCCGATCTTCTCGTCTCCCTCCTCTCTCTCCGCCGACAGAGTATAGCAGGCAGGCAAGAACGGGAACAGGTGAGTGTCATGTAGCGCCCAGGAACCTGATATGGAGAGGGCAGAGGAGAGTACCGGCAGCTTGGGAGAAGTCCCGGTACGCAAGAAAATGTCCCGGTACGTCCAAGAGTAAAATGTGGAGGTGCCGGTAATGCGTACTGGTGCGTTCCGGCCCACGTCAAGCACTGATTGTATTGCTCAACAGCACCTTGTGGGACTAAGAAAGATGGAAAGAAATGAGAAGTTCCAACAAGAATACACAAACTTTCTTGAGGATGTCATCACCAGTGACTATGCAGAAATAGTACCACAGGATGAATTGCGTTGTGGAGAAGATAACCTGCTCTATATTCCTCATCATGGAGTGTATCACCCACGCAAAGGCATGTTGCGAGTGGTCTTCGACCGCTGAGCTAAGTTTAAAGGAACTTCATTGAACAAACAGCTTCTGCATTGTCGAACCTCACAAGTTCCTTAATAGGAGTGCTTTTACAAAGAACCAGTTGATTTTATGTCTGATGCGAAGTTTGTTCTACCAAGTCAAAGTGGTTGAGGAAGAGAAAGACTTTCTAAGGTTTCTGTGGTGGCCTAAGCCACTGTCCAAGCAATTTGAAGAGTACAAAATGACTGCACATCTCTTCGGAGCAGTGTTGTCACCTAGTTGTGCATGTTATGCTTTAAGGAAGACTTCGGACAACAATTGGAGCAGTTATTCAGACAAAGTGACGATACATAGAAATTTCTATGTGGACAACTGTCTGGAAAGCTTACCATTGGTGCAGAAAGCAATAGAGATTGTTTATGACATAGCTGACCTTTGCCAGGGAGACTTTCATCTTACACAATGGATACAGTATGAAGTACACAGTGGAAGAGGATGATCCAGAGGTCAAACTGAAGATCTCTACAAACACAATAACTATTCAAGAGGATAATGCAACCGATCGACTCATCACATATTTCTCTGATTGGAAAAGGTTGAAGGTTGCAGTTGCATGGTTACTCAAGGTCAAGAAGGCTCTATTGGAGCTGAGTCAAAGAAGAAAACAACTTGTGATGGTTGAACCCGATGATCTTTGTAATGTTGACAAGAAAATGTTGGAAGCCAGAAAATCAAAAGGGACCAGTACGTAAGACGAAGGTGAAAACAAGCTCAGTATCTTTCAGATTTATTCTGGTGGACAAACATCTTGTTACTCTACAGGAAAGACAAACGCAATCTTACAGCACCACGAATTTCTTGGATGATTGGAAGAATTATTAAATTTTTTCCAGATAAATTAGGCATAGTCAGATCTGTGCAAATCAAAATCAATTCAAACGTAACAGTGACAAAATTCAGCCTATTGGTAGAACAGTCAGCGTAAAAGTGAACAAAGAGGGGTTTATTTGTTTGTTATTTTTATTGGATGTTTTTGTTGTATTAATGTCTCCATACAATGTCTTGTAGTGCCATGAACAATTAGGGGCTGGTTTTGTTGGAGCCATTCTGTGTATTGGGATGGGGTGGCACTGTGTTCTGCAACAAGTCTACTTAAGACAAGGGTTAACCATGTGTAACTATGGAGACTGACTTTAGTTTATTGTTGAAGAAATGTCTATTTTTTTGTTATGTTAATAAATGGATTGGCATATCCGACTTTAAGTTGAAAGTTTATTTTAAGTAATCAGGAAACAGCACGTGTGTGAAACAACTAAAATGTGCGCCAACATTTTGTGTCCAGACGTCCTGGCTGCACTCTGAGGGGAAGTTCATCTGCATTGTATTTGACTAATGTGTTCCTAATGAGCTCTGCTTTTTTTTGCTGCTCTGGTATATATTAACAATGGCTCAAATATATAGCAGTTATTTGGTAGGCCACACTGTTAAAGATTTGGGAGCCAGTGAGGAAGTCCACTGACAGAGACCCCCTAATACAGTAATTCCCAACCAGTGTTAGTTGCTCCCCAGGAGTGCCAGGGAGTAGGCCTATGTGCAAAAATGGAGTGAAGTAGCTCAGCTAATTAAAATATGATTATTTGCTTGCTTTCTTGATGAGAGTTAGAAGAGAGACAGACAGACGACTTGTACAGTGTAAATGATTTGATCATATTTATATGACATCATTACAGTGAGAAATAAGACACCTGTAAGGAAGAATATGAACAGTGTTGGACAGGTTACCCCCCACCCCATCCTAAGTGATGGACAGCTTGTTCAGCAGGTCATTTTAGAAATTAATCCACTTTACAATAATCAACATGAAGAGTCAACAACCAGCCAAACTGAAAACACTGCAGCCTCTCAAACCAGATGATGCTATACAGTAGCCTATGGGCTATGTAGACCTAAAATAAAAGTCTCTCCCGACTTTTTGACTAATTGTATATTCATACCAGCAGCAATGAGTATGGGTTTTTATTTGTTTGTTTTTTACAATAATGTTTCTTAATGCCACTGGCTGAAATAAAAAAATAAAGCAAGTAAATCCCAACTCTTGAAATAACGTTTTTCTGCACATTTCTAAGAGCAGAGTTCAGTGTTTTTACAAAATATAAAACCTTGCTTAACGCCACTTTTTCCTGACAAGTGCATGCATCACTGGCAGTAGCGGCTGGAGTTTCTTTCCATAATCTTCACATTGCTATGCTGCAGTAAATTAAATGTAGAATTGTTCGTGGTTGAAAGCTTTTTGCTGGTCGCAAAAGATGACAATGTTCTTTGCATCTTAGACTGTGACACAATAATGACAAATCTTACAGCTGTGGAAACAACGCCTCTCTCCCTCATTCACATCAAGGATAGTGCATTCTGGTAACGCAGCGTTACTTGGATGAGTAAGTGTAATAATATTGCTGTTTTAGAAATAGTAATCCCTTACACTACTAGTAACTGGGAAAAGTAACAATATTGTAGTAACTCGTTACTGCCCAAAACTGTTTCCTAACTTTCTGTCTCCTAACAACTTCCTTCAGCATTACCAAATACCTGTCACAGTAAATATCCACTTTTATATATAAAAATATCTAGAAATATATAAATAGGAATCATTTAGTTTCAAATCAGGAGGTACTTCATACAAAAAACTTTTGGAGCCACCGCTCTGATATCACAGTGTACACAAGTGCAACAAAATATGACACCACGCATGGCACGAACAACAACTTTTATCCTTCAAATCTGATCGAGTTTGACCTTAACACTCAGCTGCCATTTTTGTATTTGTTCTTGCTTGTCTCACTGCAGGTTTCCACCACTATTATCATCTGAGGCGTCTTTTCTCACTGAAACCAAACTGTCATCAATAAGATCACATTTTGTTCAGAAATGTTCCCTCAACAAACAACAGACAGACCACAGTTGTATCTATCAAACAAGACCCTAGGATACAGAAGGGTGTTGTGTGCAGATTCATGATACCTGTTACTTTGCACCTGTTGTGCTGCAGAAATATCCTCTGCTTGTTGCAGCGAACATACTCTTAATGATCAGTAGTTTGCTTAATTTAGTGTAATGATTTAAGCTTGTAGTTCTCCCATCAATAAGATCTTCTCTAGTCCATTCAGTCATTAGGTTACACAACAGTTGGTCAATGTTGCACCATTTTGGCCACAGGCATCTGTCAATTTTCTTTGAGTGTATTGCCAGCTCATGCAATTTCATCATTAAGGTTAACAGGGAGTGTAAAATGGTCGCAAGTCGTCCTTGGATTATTTATGCACCCCCTCCTTTAGAGGCTCAACAGAATTCTGCAATGAATTCAAAATAGATGAAGCAGCTGCAGCTCAATATCCACTTAAACTGACTCCAATACCTTGACTATCAAAGGCAAAAGTAATTGTCCTAAATGTTAGTAAATATAAATCTTAAAAAATAAATTACTTTAATTTAATATCAACATTATTATTATTATCATTTATAATCGCTAGAGAGAACTTTTTGAGTATTTTAATTTTCATATCAGAACAATCACAAATACCAGCAGGCAGAGTTTTCACCCTATAATCCCTCTGCTTCCCTTGCTCCCACCCCCCTTTCTCTTTCGCTGAGGTTGGTGTGTCGTCGTTGAAGTAGATCACAACCATCAGTTTTGATTTTGATTTTGGTGGTGTGACCATGCTGTGGTCGTGCTAAGGAGAAAAAGGAAAAATCAGCGTCACACTGACGAAGTCCGCGAAGCGCGTTATTATCGCACTACAGTGCCGCATCTTTATTGGCAGTGTGGTCGACAACCTGCGGTCACTGCGGACAGGGTTGACAGCAGGAATACGACAAACATATTAAACACATCGAAGGATGTCTGGGATCACTGGGAATTTGGATTGCGAGGAGTGTTTGTCTTCTGGGCATGTGGCCAACAGCACGGAGTTACATCTGCACTCCACTACTGTGGATGAGGACGATGAACTTCTGAGATACATCTGGAGAGAGTACTTACACCCCAAACAGTATGAATGGGTTCTCATTGTGGCTTACATTATTGTGTTCTTCGTCTCGCTCATTGGAAACTCGCTGGGTAAGTGGTACCTTTTGATATTATTTAAGCTCATTCATGCGTAACGAGTCCCGCAAAAATCAGACAGAAGTAAGCTACACCTTGAACAACTTTTTTTTGAGAACGTGATTGAGATTTTCGTCACAAGCAAAATAAAATAAAATCTCCCAGTGGCGACAATTTTAGTCCATTGTTTCTTTTGATGTTCAGTGCCGTTGGCGGCGCATCTGCAGATGGAGTAGGATCAAGGAGAATAAGAGTGTCTCTCATTGCAATCAAAGTGCTGCTCGAAATGATCAGAATTGGACTCGATGTGTTTGAAGATAGATGAAATGATATTGCTTATTAAACGCGGTGGTTGCTCCCAGTCCAGTTTACATTAATCTCAGTTTTCTACTGTTAAATGTGAGGAATCCATTGGTGATGCCCACCTAGCGCTAAACTGCGTTCACACAGAAAGCGAATTTCATATTCGCCTCGCTTTACTTGAGCGAGTTAGACCGCTGGACATTTTGAGTGTTCACACAAACACAGCCCGCTGATACTACTGCTATATGAACCCAAAGTAAACCTTTTGCTGTGATTTAATTGCAATAAATGGATCAAACTGATGCCGAAATAACTATGATGCCGTTTTGTTAGACATATGAATTCATGCTTTGTCAGGTCTGTCAGCAAGTGACAACTTTTAAAATGTTTGTGAGTGGAGTTCGGATCGATCAGAGCTATGCTATGCTAACCTGTTCACAGTAAAGTACAACGATAGCTGGAATAAAGTTACAGACACACATTTTCTGAACTCACCAGGTAGTTCAACTTCCTCGCTTTCTTTTTTCCAAGTAATGTCCAGCTTTGTCCGGTTTTTATATAAATATGAAGTAGTAGTCAAGCAGAACTCCAGTGCCATCCCACGCTAACAATAACAGTGGAACTGGATGTGCGCGGAAGCTAGCTGCCGAGAAGCGTGAGTGAAGATAAATCAAGTTAGTAACTAAAGTAAAAAGCTAATTTAATAAAAAGCAGCTAACTCTGATCTCCTCCCTTGGGTAAACGGTGTAGTTGTCAGAGCAGAATCCAGATCGACTATGGGTGTTTATTTGTCTGAAACCTGCAGCGCTGCTCTCCGTACACTTCCGCATTCTTTAGCAGCTCCCCATCGGCCTGAGGATAGTCATTACACCGCTCCTCTACAAACAATGCTCCGAAGCCGCCGGTGACGTTTGGACTATCTCACCGCTGATAGGCTTTCGCATCATGCATCAAGCATGAAAAAAATCTGAACTTGCGGGAACCAGCGAATGTCGCAACAAAGGCCTCATTCGTGCCGCCCGAAGCAGATTTGCGTCTTTGCATTGACTTTGTATGTAATCAAGCTGCCCAGAACGCTGGATTCGCTTTCGGTGTGAGTGCAGCATTACAACAGGCTCATTTCCCATCAGCAGTTTGATCAATCACAACCTCAACTCTTAATGGCCTTTTGTGCACATTTGTGTTGTTCATCTTTTTTGCAGGATTCCCACTTCTTTTATTATTGGAAGCAATTTTTCTTCACTGGAACCATTTTCATCATCAATGACATCACATTTTGATCATTACTGCTATCTCAGCACGCTCTATGGAGTACCGATCCTGACACATTCAGAAAAAAATAAATGCTCAATAAATAAATAAGCATCCGATTAAATACACAAAAAAATTAAGTAAATAAATAAATGTAGGTAGTAATTAAATTATACAAGGAGACATAAATGTATATATCTATTTTAATTACCTTATTATTTATTGTCCGTTATAATCTTCAACTTCATTTATTAATTACTTTTTTTTAAATGTATTTATTTATGTGTGTGTTTTAATATTTTTGTCTGTTTTATTCTTGCGTTGCATTTTCTACCCTATTTATTTTCACCCATGGTATTTATTTCTGCCTGTCCTTTTTACATTTCTGTATGCATTTCTGCCTCATTATGCAAATGAGGAGGGGCTGTGTCTCAAGGGGTGAACTTCTCTCCTATTGGTGGACCAGTCAGACAGGAGAGCTCTAGGCCTTCTCTGCCTGCAGACATCAACGAGCTGCTCCTCACACAGTCAGATGGCTTCCTTCAGTGCGCTGTGGTGTTTAGCAGCTCTGTTTGAAGACAATACTACCAGCCATGTCTTCCTTCTCTTTTCATGTAGACGCTCTGACAGACAGGGTTTTCAGTTTGCTGCATGCATGGACACAGAACTGCAGTATAGAGAGAAGCACACGGTCAGCTGGCTGCAGCTAAATCTGGAGTGCACTCGTATTCAATTCTGTATGGTAAATTCAGTTTTAACGGAGCAGAGCGAGCTGACAGGCAGAGTTACAGACTTTTTCTGTCGTTTCTCTCTTTACAAAGACGCATGTTGCAGTCTGAGAGTCTTCTCTGAAGAGGGCAATGAAGTCTCAGTAGTACACGATACGAGCACCACATACAACACAATTTATCAAATTACACAACCGATATACAGTATGAAAATAAGATTGATTGGATTATACTCAGTATAAAACCTGTTACATACGTCTATTAAAAGTAAAATAACACAAAAATGTCAGGGAAATTACTTTACTTAGATTTAAGTACTGCAGTTGTACATTTGAAATACCTTCCTACCTTTCTGATAGGAAGTTCTCTTGAGGTGGTATAAAACATTTCTTCTTAAATTCTGATTTGAGTTGTGGACAACTATGACCACATGAATTAAAAAAATTAAACATTTCACTGCCCAAGTCAGCTATAACACAAGCCTTGTCCATTAGACTACATGCTGTACAGTATTTGTAATTTGATTTATTATGCATTTCTTCTTCTTCGTTGCATGATTTACAATAATAAGTTGAGAAATGGGTCTGTTCTGAGTTGATCCTGCTCTGCAGCAGCTAATAAAGTCCATTTAATCCCCAAAATGCTTTCTTTTAAGCAGGCTGGAGCAGAAAACAACTCACCTTTCTCAAGTTGTACAGTAATGTCACACATGTGTATGAAGGTGGATCAAACAAGCTAATTTTAAATGTCAAAGTAGAGAGGAGCCTAGTAGGCCTATTCATTTTCATTCATTACACAAGATGAATGAGCTATGCAGACAGTTGTAAAGAAAGAACATCTTTTTCTTCTGTTCTCTACTTGTTATAGTTACACAGTATTAGGGGTGTGGGCTGTATTAAAGTATCCACTGTTCTCACATGCTCTAACACACTGTAACGATGAAATGTGTGCTGTTCTCTCATTCTTCTTCTGTATGTACACATAAACAACAAGGCAGGGAAATATAAAAGGAATTTATTTTATTGTTTGGGGGTTATTTGTTGCTCTCCTTCTCCTCCTTCTTCTTTTCCTCTGAAGAATATGGTTATGTTCTCCGCATGCCTCCTCCTGTGTTTTCTGTGTAAGACATAGAAGTACAGTAACTAACGTTAGCTTTCATTAAATCATTTCGACTGGTGAAGTGCAGTAAAGTTAACTTTAAATTGACTTCACCACCACACATAAAACACGGCTTAATAGCAATCACATTTAACAGAAGCATAAAATTCTTCTTAATGGTAACTGTTAAGCTTGTTAGTCACCACCACTAGCTTAAGAGCTTTAGCCTATATGATGTTAGCACTACATAAATTAGCCTAGCGGCTAACGGACTTTTACTCTCCTCATAGTATAAGTCGCTAATTGAAAACTCTGTAGGTCAGAGTGTCCACGTGAAAAGAGAAGGAAGACATGGCTGGTAGTATTGTCTTCAAACAGAGCTGCTAAACACCTCAGCGCACTGAAGGAAGCCATCTGACTGTGTGAGGAGCAGCTCGTTGATGTCTGCAGGCAGAGAAGGCCTAGAGCTCTCCTGTCTGACTGGTCCACCAATAGGAGAGAAGTTCACCCCTTGAGACACAGCCCCTCCTCATTTGCATAATGAGGCAGAAATGCATACAGAAATGTAAAAAGGACAGGCAGAAATAAATACCATGGGTGAAAATAAATAAGGTAAAAAAATACAAACGAAGAATAAAACAGACAAAAATAATAAAACACACGCTATAAATAAATACATTTAAATAAATAAAGATGACGATTATAACAGATATTTATTAATTACTTACATTTCTGTTAGCAGAAATGCATACAGAAATGTAAAAAGGACAGGCAGAAATAAATACCATGGGTGAAAATAAATAGGGTAGAAAATGCAACGCAAGAATAAAACAGACAAAAATATTAAAACACACACATAAATAAATACATTTAAAAAAGAAGTAATTAATAAATGAAGTTGAAGATTATAAAGGACAATAAATAATAAGGTAATTAAAATAGATATATACATTTATGTCTCCTTGTATAATTTAATTACTACCTACATTTATTTATTTACTTAATTTTTTTGTGTATTTAATCGGATGCTTATTTATTTATTGAGCATTTATTTATTTCTGTATTTATTTCTGAATGTGTCAGGATCGGTCCTCCATAGACACCCACGTGGAACAGATTTATATCTGCACACTTAAAGAACAGTATCATAGAGCTATCAGATAGTTCAGCTTTTTTTTAGATCTCTCTTAGAGATCTAAAGTTTGAAGCTAGATGTAGTGTTGCTCAGCTTGTGAGACTGAGAAAGTGTCATACATGAAAAGTTAATTAAACAATGCATGTGTGAAAAAGGATGATCTTGTGCATAATTCAGTTCCATAAATCAAAACCATGCAATCTTTGGATGAAACAAAGGTGCCCAAATAAAACATAACGTTAAATATGTGATGATTTTACATATTTAAAGACTTTTTCCAACCATATTGCGCCAAAGTGTGTAATACACCCGCTGATCCACCGTCAGTGTCATGCTCTGCCTCGCCTAAGCCTGCAAAGTACATGCGTGTATGAACATGCAGTACCAGCAGGGGGCAATAATAATTAAAGCAGAAAGGAGGAACGTGCTATAAAGAGGAAAAAGTCAGTGTAGGGAGGAGGGCTAGGTGGTCGGGTATGGAAAGCCAAAAGCAATTATTC